AGCATCCCCCCAGATAGTATATTAGGTTGTCCCGTAATTAGTGAATCACTTTACATTTATTGCTATGAAAATCCAAGAAAAATGGTAAAGGCGTGAAACATGTTTTGCGAAGTAGCACCACATTATCCTACCTGAGCATTTAGTCAGCCCATTTACACGCTGCCTTACCGTGGCTATTACATCAATTTTTCTAGAACCTATTTTTGAGCTTCCTTCTTCACTTGTGATTGGTATCTTTTGAAAGGACGAATTCACGCTGGAAAAAGCAACCCATTTCAAATTAACTTAGGGATGGTGAGTGGTACACGAAAGAAGGAAGAACCATGAGAAACGGCCCAGAACCCGAGAAATGGGACCCCTTCCTTGCCCGTTGATTTGAGCATTGATGCGACTCTCATCGCTGTGCCCTCTTCAACACTACGCTCTCTCACCTATCTAATCACTCGCCACGTATAGACCTGCGGGATCAGATGATCGGTGGGCGTACACCGGCCAACCGCGCCAAGATTTAGCCTTACTAGGCCGCCAGTGGAGAAAGAGAGAAAAAAATCGTGAAATACACAGGAAATACGAGCCTTTTGCTCTACGCTGCGGAGAAGTTCAAAAGGCCGGCAGGGAGATGAGAGATAATGTGAGCGCGGAGAGCGGTAGAGAAGTCCGAGTAGAGAGAGCATAGCAGATCAACATTGCGACGCAGACAAGATATCGAGCGGTGGGCGGAGCGTGTCGCACAGGTGGAGCGTGTCAAAGTTCTTAGCGCCTAGCGTCTAAATAACGCTTTTCGAAGTAGGGAAGTGACGCGACCTCTGCACTTGCGTACCTAGCGCTTCTAGCTCCAAAGGCTCATAGTGGGTCTTATCGTTAGCGCGAACTTTACCTTTAACATGAATAGTAGGAGATGACAATTTCGAGGCATTATCGGCTATCCTTCTATTGACTTGAGAACCCAAAGATCAAGGACGACCACCGATAAATATCGAGGGGCTGGCATCAAGATTTTGTTTCTATTTTCCAATAACGAGGACGTACGACCGGGTTCACGTGTGTTTTCCCGATTGGAGGGTCCGGCAACGTGACGTGACGTAATCTGTGCCTCTTCTTCTTGGAAAAATGTTTGCTGTCAAGAAGCATGATGGAAAATAAGTACCAGAGGAAAAGTAAAAATAAGTTGGAAATTGGTGCGAAAACTTGGTCTACCTCAGGGTGTCCACATACTTTTGATACAGTGAAAAAAAAATTCCACAGGGACCACATACTTTTGGCACTGCATGCTCGTAGTTGAGTCGCTAGTAACCGTTCCATTGTGGAACGCTTATTAGCAATTGTGCCGCCCCGCTCACTTGATTGCACTGATAGTATGTTGCTCACAGGAGCTCCAATTCATTCGCAATGTCTGATCAATCTTCTGTCTTATATTTACTTGACCAGATTGGTCCCCCGTCAACCGCCGGGACCTTCCTTCCCTGCGCAAGCTTTCTATCCTCCGCTATGGTCCCTTCCACCTGTGACACCAACACCTCGCAGGGACGTAAGCAAACCAGCCCTTTTGGCACATCGGCTGGGACCGTATGCTGAATGTTGGGGAGGGGATGGGGTCCCCAACGGTCGACGGTTTACTTCAACTCGGTTGGTACGATAGGAGAGTACTGACGCAAGTGGTGCAGCTGGTCCAGTAGCTTCGCCAGAAGGACCGGTCTGCTCACCCTTGGACTAAGCCTAGGAGAGGGGACGGACCCGTCCTCTCTTTAAGGCTTAGTTCTAAGGTAAGCGCCAAATTGTGGCGGTTCTAAGGACCGCGTTGAAGTTGTCCGTCCACCGTCGGGGACACCATCCCCTCCCCAACATTCAGCATACGGTCCCAGCCGATGCGCCAAAAGGGCTGGTTTGCTTACGTCGCAGAGTGCACGCTAGCACAAAAGAGGGTTCATTTTAGTTGAGGGCTTCGCCATAATCACGACATGACGGTAGAATGACATATCAATGCCTGAAAGCACTTTAGTTCTGTAAGTGATTGGTTTTTGCCTCCTCTTCTCATTGCACTGCCCTCCAGCTGCCACTGCTGCAGCACCACGTGGAATGAACGGAAGTGAGCTCAGAGGGTGTTTTTATAGCCGTAGCGGTGTTATCACAATTATCCTATTACAGCACATTGATAGCTCAAGTACTGCGAACTACCCGTTCCTGCTAGCGGTTGTTTATTCCATTAGCTGTCTTATACGTAACCTCATTTTGCGGACGGACAGACAGATGCATACATACGGACATACATATAAACCGACACACCAAGTTAGCGTTTTATAAAATAGCGGGATGATTTGAAGTTATACGGTTTCAGATGGGGTTCCCTCTGGTAACAGTTCATGCAATTAACTCCACTCATTTCGAATCACTCGTCTTCGTTACCAAAAGACCCAAAGGGGAGCGCAAGAGCTGAGAAGTATCGATCTCCGAAGTACGGGTGAGTAGTTTCGGCAATTTTTGTTTATCATGCAACCAACTAGTGTGAAACGTTCAGGTTCAAGTGGCACGTTCCAATATTCTATCAACTGGATGATGAAGCAGTGAAGTTTGAATGGTTACGCAGAGGTGAAGTTTCTAGGCTTTTCGATTTGTCGAACAATTGGTGCAGTGGAAGAACAGTTTGCACCACATTTGCACACTTCAAGAGCTGCATATCCCTTTGCACCTAATATGCTTTCTGTTCTTCCTATCAACGAAGCGGTTCAACATACTAGGCAGGTGGACTTGTTTCTTAAAAATATTTGATCCTGACGTCTATAAGAAGTGTAGGGAAAGGGACGCTCATGCCGTGGGAGGGGGAGCATTGAAGTGAGTTAGTACTTACACGATTTGGGAATAATCCTTGGGGAAAGGTGGGAAGGGATCCCAAGAGAGGATGTGAGCAACCTTCATCCTGTCTAGCGTTTCCACGTTCCTATTTGCTTATGTGTGTAGTGTCAGCATCTATGCCTAGCACCGACATGCACAGCATTGCTCAATTGCGAAGAAGATCCAGGAAAGGTCTCCAAACTCGTTATAGAATGATATGACCCACTTAGTGTGTTCAGCAAATCTGGTAGGGACAGTCTACCATATGCATCTGTCGCCATCGAAGGTACGGAAATAGAGGCAGTCCGATGAGCCAAATCTACTCGTCAATCTCTTTGAGCTTCTCGCCCCAGACTCGGAATTTCTGAAGGGCCGGCATCCTGAAGTTGCCTGCTGAAGAGCAGTGTTTTGACGATTATGGTGGTTTATGTATTCAACAATTGTGGCTGCACCAAAGAAGAAAAACAATTTTTTGGAAAAAAAGTTGTCGAATGCGCAAAACTTTTCCGACAACCTAATATTTAGCGTGGTATGAAATAATCGATTCTTAGTAAGGTTCTAAAATGACTTGATAAATGAACGACTTCATGAAGATTTCGAATCACATGTATTAGTAATTTCAAAATAAACCCATGCGCGACATTTTACAATAGATGGAAACAGTTTCTGGGAGTGACAGGTCATTCTCCTTCACCTCCCGCTTCACTATTCCACCGAAAAGACCTTCCTGTTGACCAGATTGTGATTATCTGGGGTTATTATTGTAGTTCGCCCATACTCAAAGCAGACAAGTCAAACTCGACATCCTACTCGGTGAAGGTAGCGTTGAGAGAGATCTGAGAAGAAATGGAAGAGGAATCTGCATGAAACGTGTGACTTGTCCAGAGAGTGACCTCGAATCGGTGTGTTAGATCCATACATCACTCTTAAGAGGCTCTTCTTTGTAGAGAAGCTTGTAAAATATCGCAGTAGGAAGCTTGTAAAAACTTAGCATACATGAGCGCCCGTGTATCTGGGATTCATGATGCTGAGTCACCTCATCGTCATTACAAAGTCCATGAGATGGGTGGGGTGTACTCAAGCAGAAGCAAGGGCTGACGCGGCTGCATCCAAGAGGCCCCGTGCGCGCGCAAGCAAGGCCGAGGCAAAGCGGACGGGTCGCGGCGCGGTTTTAGGCGAAATCGCTTTCAAAGTTAAATAGATGTCCCATATACAGTCCTCAATCGACATTACGCGCCGCCATCGTCCGCTGCTCTTGCCTTCTTGCGCGCGATGGGCCTACTGGCGGGGGTTACCCAAGGGCTGACACAGTCTGAAACTGCCTTAATTCTGCAAGACCTCGGTTTACGGTTGCGACACAGCTCTTTTCTTCGTTGGACCTACAGGAAAGCGCTAATGAATCCTAATAATCCAAATAATCCAAGCAACCACTGGAGTCTAATAACATCTTAGCACTCCACTAGTGCTGTGAACGTGACCACCAAAGTCTTACTTGAGAAGTTATGCGGCTCGGCCAGCCCATAATTTCGACACACCCAAATGTGACTAGACAAAGCCCCCGTCTCTTATAAGTGACGAATTGATTTCCTCTGCGCTATTGATGATTAAAAACAAGTGTCGCGATCGAATGAGCGTAACACTCCGCTTAAAAAATGGAACAATAGGTGCCAAGAGGACCTTTAGTAGGGAAGAAGCGCAAAAGCAACCATAGAACACGCCAAAGTGAGGGCTTTTCTTCTGGAGGTGGCGGCGATACGACGAGGGACACAGTGCGGCGGGGAGAGAAGAACGCGAGAGAGACGTCGTACGAGGGGAAGTGGACACCGGGAGTGCTGAGCAGGGTGAATAACGGTCGAGAATTCCTCGACCATGGCTCTCTACTGTGCGAGAGTAGTGCCGAGAGTGAACATACGCGCGGAGAGCACAGACGGCTCGCGCATGGCGAGTGTGAATGTCCGCGCGGGAGATCGCAACTGATCAGGCGAAAATCCTCGACCGATATTTACCCTCTTGCTGGGAACTACTGAAGATGAAGCAGTCGCAGCGATCAAGCGGAGAATTAAGCGTCTATGTCCGCACTTTCGATTCGCGACAGCGCCACTACTGCTGTGCTCAGGAACCCTGCTTCTTCACTCGCGGAAAGAAATGCTCAGGGAATCTTATTGCGACCCGTGAATATTTATGTGACGAGTGAATACTAGCACTTTTTTTCAACTTTTGAAACTAACTTCAATGGTGAACTAATTTTGACTGTTTGTATACAAGAGCTTCCTCTCAAAGAACGAATGTAAAGAAACGTTTCCAGATGAACCACTTTATCTTTCTGCCAACACAGAACGAACGACAATAGTAGTGAACGCTGAGCGACATGGATACTATAGACAAAATTATGACGAGGAAGGCTGGAGAAAAATAATCAGACAACTCAAGGAGGACCACAAAGTAACCTCTTTCAGTTCTATGCAAGCTTGATTTGGGAGTCATTCACAGAAAATCCTTGCATCCTTTCCCAACATGAATACGTCTTTAGTAATCACTAGAGACGAAGTTTGCAGTACGAAGTTTCACGTAAGAAGTTCAGTTCCCAACGAGAATGAAACTTTTGACCACACTCTATGAAGGGTTGTGGGTAGGTCGGGCAAAGACAAGGGAACGCATCGAAGGATATTAGGTGAATCAAGCTGAAGCATTCCAATTTGGAGATTGGAGAAATAACAGTTCATAGAATAGGAAAAAGGGAAATGTAATTCATAGGTAAAAAAAGGACGAAAAAAGTTTCTAGTGAAGGCACCCCGAAAAGCGAGTGGAACCGTTCACGTCGCCAGCATTTGTGACAGATGCGAGGCGGGAATCTGCACGCGTAAAAGTCCTTCCGATTTTTCGCTCTTTTAACTACAACAAACACAACTTGGTTGTTCTTTACCGCTTTTTCGATATGTTAACCACAACAGACGCACTTCGGTTGTTCGTTACAATCTTGTCGTGAATGGTGTGTCTAAAGCTAATGATTTATAAGTGAGATAGAATCATGGTCTTTCCGTGGACGATTCCCATTGAAGACAGGATTATATTAGGTCGGTCCATAATTTTTGAGAACCTTTGGTGTTTTTCGATTCAATTACTTATCTTATTTCTCTGATGTACTTATTCAGCATAGTATACATCACCATTATTACCAACATATAACCAATGCGAGGGTGGGTATTCAGTGTCTCTCTTGTAGAATTTCATAGAGTTCTGATCGAAGAAATATTGGATGTCGATTTTGACTTTATGGTGATTCAAGTGAGATTTCTTCTCCAGAAGGTGATTGAGAGAGGAGAGCGGATAGTCGTTCGTTGACGCAGGATTAGTGCTACAAGGCGGAGCTAAAAGAACTGACCGCCCGAGAGTCTCCAATTTTTTAGGAATTTTCTTAGCAAGGCGGGCTCGAAACGACCTCAGAGAAAAATAGATTTTGTCTTCCTTTGCTTTCAAGTTGAAGGCGTTGCCATCAAGCTGTCAACGATTCTTCCCATCACTGACACTGGTATTAGTTGATGCCGGTCTTCAGCGCAAAGGCCCTCCCGTATTGCGCCAACGACTCAGGAAGTTCGAATTCAGAGGGAGTTGGGTTTGTACTGTCAGAACTCCCGAATCGTTTGAGCAAATCTACTGCGGCTCGTGGATTTGTTAGCACACTGCACCCAGTCCACATCACCAATGAGTATTATAGATGGTCATCCGAAGGAACTATGGGAAACCAACAGGAACTTGATGATGTCAGATTGGGTTGAGAACTGATTCGGGACTACAATTTTCCTTCGATCAGAACTCTATGAAAGTCCACAAGAGAGGCACTGAATACCCACCCTCGCATTGGTGATATGTTGTTAATAATAATGATGTATACTATGCTGGATAAGTAGATCAGAGAAATAAGATAAGTAATAAATCGAAAAACACCAAAGGTTCTCAAAAATTGTGGACCGACCTAATATATATAAAGGTTTAGAGGGGATGTGGGGTACTCAATGGTGAATCAGTGGCAAAAATAACGGACAAATCCGTCTAGAAAACGAGACTGCCTCGTTTGGTTATTGATTGCCGCACAAGGACGGTTAGTGACCAAGACAGCGTAAGGGAGGTACGACTTTATGGCTCAGTCGATTTGGTGCTCCGCCAGAAAGTATCGGAGCCCGAGTGTTCCAGTTGTGGCGTATAAAAATGTGTCTTATTGCCTTCAACTCTCACTGTACTTGCTGGAAACAGGCAAGAAGATCTTTCCGCTTCTTCCCTCCCCCCCCCCCCCCCCCCCCCCCCGGAACAAGCTGCATCGTTGTGCTCAAGTCTGGCTTGAATCCCATGCTCAGTGACTGCCTTAAGTCAGTTGCTGCACTCTTTCAACGCTCAGCTCGTTATAATGTGCGCGTTCTGCGCCGTTATTGGCCGCTCCAGCTTGTTCGAACGAGTCCAAGCTTCCCTAATTGTCCACTTGTAGGTTTAACGCATTTGTCTGGCCTCATTTCCTGTGAATAGGTTGCGGCATCCTTCGTGTAATATTTCGCTCCATAAAATAAAAAAAAAAAAAAAAAAAAAAAAAAAAAAAAAAAAATAAAAAAAAAAAGAAAAAAAAAAAAAACCCTTTTGTGCGACTTCAAAAGGCGCTGGGCGGCAGAAACTCTAAGGAAGCAAAAACATCGAACTTGCCGGAGTCCCTCCGGCAACCGCCCATCCCTCCTTGCATACGCTTTACGCCTTCCGCGGCGCCCTTCCACCACGGCTCCAACATTGTGGTAGGGGATGCATGTGCATATAATGATGTTTTCGTATAGTCTAGGGCATTATCGTAATTATGACACCACCTTAGAATGACACTTAATTGGACCTCATGCGTGTTGTCGGTTGGCAAAGAGTGTGCTCTGTTAGGTTTACTTCGTACAGTCGTTGGGTGTGCTTTCACAAGTATGCCATTGCAAAAGATTGACACTGCAAGGCGAACTGCCCAGTTTATGGCGGTTGGCTTATTCCCTTAACTATCTTATCACTCTATTTCGCACTCGGACAAATGGGCATACGTATGGCCTGTTTCCGAAAACAGATGCTGGTCGAGTGCAGACCACACAACACAAGTGACGACGGCCTCCACAAAATGTTAAATGTTTTTGCCAATGAAATGATTAGCCTGTTGCAGTTGTATTCTATCAGTTGTCACTAATTACAACTATCACCAACTATCAGCTATCACTATGAACCACTAGTTACCAGATTTACTCGGAAGGCCGTCGTCACTTGCAGTGTGTGGTCTGCACTCGAGGAGCACCTGGTTCTCGGAAAGAGACGGTTTCTGCAAATCAAGAAGCGGTTTATAGGAAAAAAAGATTATGATTTATAGGAAAGAAGGATTGAGAGTTTTTGCCATTATCGAGGTCCAAAGGTAAGTTACCGTATAGCTGCCATTCTAGATATACAGCGCTCGTACGAGGAATGCCATTGTCAGTGATGCTTTCGCCGCTGCAGCTGTGGATCATGTCGGCTATAAGACAGTGCTCGATCTCATAGAGTACATGAAACAGGAAAAGGTGCGACATTTTCAGAATGATGGAGCGAAAGAACAATACACCACTTCTGTCAGAAAAATCTGACATTTAGGACTACATTCCTTGGTCTCCTGCACTCAACGGACTCAATTATATAGGAAGTAATTTCCATGACGAGCAAAATCTGGTGTATTTCAACGTAAGTTCGCAAGACGGTTGCTCTTCGAAGCAACAACCCCAGATGAAGTCGCGTAGGGCAATTTGTTACGTGGTACGATAGGGTAGCTCGCGGTGTCATAGTTGTGCCACTGCAGGGGCTCAATTCGCTACGATGGCGCTAAAGCTTTGGAAAGTGAGCTGATGGCAGCTAATGTGAGCTCATGGACGAGATACCTCGTGCACATTCCACGATACGCTGCGTGGATTACGACGTAGCGGCTAATTCAAATACGCGCGGGTTAGTGGAGCCATGGAGCAAACAAGTTCAGACAACTCGTCCGGACGCGCTCCTTCCTCATTTCAAGTGAGAGTGCGAGTCTGTTCAAAGGCTTCATCGGCTTATTCTTAAGACTTATTCACCACTGTCAACTCTCAAATTGATCTGGGGCTCTTGCTCTGAGCTAATTAGGAATTTTTTGTTCCTTTACAGTGAAAGTCAATTCGCTTTTGTGTATTTCAGCGCTACATGAGAAAGCTGTTGAAACCGGTATATAAGAAGCGCTTTTTCCAAGAAGTTGCAGAAAATTACAAGAAAAATGAATACTTCCAAGACAGGTGTAGTATACGCTTGGAATACGGTGTTCATTTGATAATTTATTTCACCTACTACCACGCTCATTGAATATCGGAACATAGAGATGGCTTATCAATCGAATAAAAATGCAATGCAGCCCATGTGCATTCCCCGGGTATGCACAAGGAAACTCCCTCATCCGACATTGTGCATCGCCGGAGATGCACATTAGGTTCTCCATACACTTTCAGTTCGTTTACGGCTGTCCTCCTTTTGATCTTTCATGAGCTATCGGGTTAAAGGCCTAGGAGGAAGAACGTCACAATTCATAAATTCAGTGTTTTCGAAGTGCGTGTCCAGAACGGCTTTGATTGAAAGCTTATCAAGGAGTTCACTGTTATTGAAGAGCAAACGGTCATTGAGCAGAATGCTCACGGATTCAGAACGAAGTACCGTACTTCAATGTCATCCATTACAGTGACTTTGACTTGATTTTTTCTTATGATCACCAATGGAGCTTCATATTCGGATGTTGTGTTATCCCAAACTATCGTCATTTGGAAGAGAGTTATGAATCAAACGTTATTTCGCAAACTTGCTTGCAACCTTTGTCAATGACTGTTGATTTTGGCGATCGCTAAGAAGTTTGCTGCGAACATTTTCTCATTGGTCCTGACCGTAGAAGAAACGTAACGCGTCTCCAACTCGCGAAAAACTTTCATTTTATCAATCGATTCTATTCGAATTGCTCCAACGAAAACCACCATGGATAGAGTTGGTAACTCTCCAGATTGGGGTTGCTTCCTAAGATCTTCTGGAGAGAATGACTGCGCATCCCGAAATCAAAAACGATGCGATTTGGCTGGCTTCATCTTTATGTGTGATCCTCTTCTTTAGGAGGTTTGCTGATCCTTTGAGTGCGCACAGTTCTTCAGCTCTTCGCAATCTTGAAGGTTCTACTTGAATGATGAGAGCATCGGTGATGTTTCGGCGTTTGGAAAAGGAGGGAGCACCGAGTTGCTCTGCGAGGGCGCAATCGCGAAGTCTCTGGGTAGTAATCTTAACCCATTGGCGACATTGCGGGTCGATGTGGGGACGCAGCATAGAGATAATTCTTCTACGCAAGATTTTTAAAATTATTATAATGGCACATTAATCAGGAAGGCGTTGTAGTACTTATGGTAATCGTGGCCCATGCATATCTTTCCTAAATAATGTTTTACATAAGCGGTGCTAAAAAGTGATTTTTTAAAGCAAGGCTTGTTATTTTTAAGTGTATACGGCTGGCTTCTTGCTTTCAGTTAGCTAGAGGGCTGGTACAACTTCTCACTAGAAGAGAACGGGATTCGACCCTATTTGCCAATTCTGGAGTGGAAAATTGAAGTTCTCGCTTGCTCCGAAATCCACCCTGGGCCGAACGAAAAGATTTACGCTCATTTCGGGTGCGATCGGGAAAGTTTTGAAACGTGCAAAGTCTCAACAGTGTCTGCTTTGAGATTCAACATTTTTGGTGCCAGTAGTTTGGTGCATTACGACGCATTTTTCGAAAATATAAAAAATCGCATTGTCGCCAATGGGTTAATTATGGGGTTGACGAAGGAAATCTTCACAGCTAAGAGTTCATCACAACTTTAGAAAAAAGCAACTTATGGATCTTCTTACATAGCTCCGAGACGTTAAAATAGTTTTGGAATATTCTGAAAACCCTTCACGGCCCAGTGACAGCGCACCGTTCAAGTCTTGTCATATACTTTTCGGCCACCCCGTAATCGTGTTTCACCGTACGGTTGAACATGCTTCACTTTAGCGGAAGTTCTCTAAATGTTACGAGAATGTCAAGCAACTGCGTCAAAAATACTTTGAGGTCCACTACAGCGAAACCAACTAGAAAATTTGTTTTTCTCATGATAAAGTTATTTTGTTCAAGCTTTCATTCCGTACTTGCGGAACATGGGCCAGCAGAGGCGTTGGCGGTGTGGGTGTCCTCGTCAAGTACTTGACCGAATATCGATTTGTACGGAAGCCTGATCCAAATCTGACGTTCGAGAATGTAGGTTCAACTCCTGCTTTGACAATCTTCGTCGCCTACGCACCAACATCCAGCTACGACGAAGAAGAACACGAAGCATTCTATATGGAATTGGAGAAGTTCTACAGGGAAGATCATACCTTCTTCAAGGTCATCGTCGGCGACTTCAACGCTAAGATTGGCCCAAGAAGAACGGCTGAAGAACTTCACATCGGTACTCACGGGAATGGAATGAGCAGGGCGAAAGACTGTCGGAGTTTATCATGTCGACCAACACCATCCATGGTAACTCACAGTTCCAAAAGCCCTCCTCACCTTCGTTGGACTTGGGAGTCACCTGATGGACAGTTCCATAACGAGATAGACCACATCATCTTCAATCGAAGGTTTTGCCTGACCGACGTCGCTGTTGTTCCGAAGTTCTACACGGGATCGAACGGACCATCTCTCTCAGCGCACGATTTCACTTCTGAATTCAAATCGAGAGAGCAGCAAAGTACAGGAAGCGAAGCCTCAGGACAGTCATAAACTGGGACGTCGGTCCCCAGAAACTCGAGCTGATACGCCAACGTGGAGCCGCACGAGCTGCAGGCAATCACCAACTCACGTCCGAGCTTGCGAAGCTATGCAGAGAGGCGATAAAGGAAGATCTCAAGGAGCGGTAAAAGCAGCACTGGTAAAACTAGCTGAAGCAGCAGAGGCTGGGAAGAGAATCGCAGTGCTCTTCATGCCATCAAGCCTGTGAAGAACGTGCAGCGCCCGGTCACGTCACCGACGCAGGGAACGTTTGAAGAATGAACTGGTTATTAATCGCTCTGGTTCTACTCCTCACGCGCTACCTGTCGGAATGCAAGGTACCCACTCCGTGGAAAACCAGCAGGACCGTGTTGCTGTACAAGAAGGGAGACTTGGACGACATTGGCAACTATCGCCCAATCTGCCTGCTGTCTGTAATCTACAAACTATTCAATCGAGTCGTCCTCAACAGGATCCACTGTACAACTCTTGCACGCGATAGGGACGGACGACGTTGCTGCGCACGCTCAAGCCATTCATTATACAGGTGATACAGATGAGTTTTGTGTATTTAAAGCTCAAAATCTACGGGAGTGAGGTGAAGCGGCTGCACTTGCGAAATCGCTCTGTTCTGCGCCGCGAGAAAACTCAAGGCGCCCTGTTGTCAACGTGTTTATAACAGTTAGTAGACACTGAACATATGGGTTTGGCAGACAAAAGTGGTAGTTGAACGTGATTTGTCTCGGCTTTTCTGAACCGTTCTATTTTAAGCAACTTCAAGATGAGTATAATTGAATCCTACTGTGAAGCTGATGCTGACGAATGCACTGCCAAATATGTAAGCTTATTCCAAGAGGAGGTTGTTTCAAAATGTGAAAATGGTCAGCAAGCAAGCTCATGTGTTAAGTGAGTGTAATATACTCTAAACATATTACCATTATTAGCTTCATTCACCTATTGGATTCGTGTCGAATTGGTTTTTGAAACTTCTGGTGAGAAATTTTCTGTTATTCCTTTGAAGGATCTGTCCTTAAAGGGAAAAGCTTCACTATCGCAATGTACTGAGGCTGCCCTAGATCAATGTCTATAATGGGACAGGAACATTGGGGGAAATGAAAATCGATCACGCATTGTGGAGTCCCCCCTGCAGCCTGGGCCTACACCCGATTTTGACGGGTACCCCCAGGAGACCCGTCGCGCGGCAGAAAGGCAATGTCAGCGGTCGAGTTGCGG